TGAAGTATAATGATTTTTTTCTATTAATTGAAATATCTCGCTCACTTTTGAAGATATCAATCTGAAATTTGGTGTGGTTGATACTTCCCAGGAGATCATCATTTGTAGCATTTTAAAGATTTTAACCCCCTGTAGCTCCGCTACTGATCGAGACCGGACCCATGTTTATATATGAACTTTTTTGATTAAAATGATGAGATCTATCACGCATTTCAGTTTCTGCCTTAAAACTTGAACCACCCTGTATAAGCAGTAGGTATATACATCAAAGAAGTTCAACCTATTGAGAGTTTTAGAACCAAAGCAGAATATAGGTAGGTAGGTATTTGCATTTGCTTATTTTATGGTTTAGGTTAATCGAGAAAGCCAGATGGGTTAGATTGAAATAACATTCGATTTTCACCTGAAGGTCACAAGTGTGGATTTATGTATAGCATCATTTAACAATTATCATGGTAACAATAATTATCAATTAACAATTATTATCATTTTTGAGTTGATGAACTCCATATTTTCAGATTAATAAGTAGAATGTTGGCCCAATAGATGTTGGCCAACTTTTAGGTAGGTACTAACTTTTTACCGTTAAATGAACGAAATTTTCCTATTGTGCGCAACCTAGTATGGACTAAGGTACCTTGATGTCAATTTGACGTATTTGAAGATGACAAATACGTCAAATTTTCATCAAGGTACCCTAGTATGGACATGATCGCGGATTGGTCCGCCGGAAACGTAATTAACCTAAAAATAAAAATTATTCATTAATTAGTTCATCATAATTTTATATTTGTTTCATTGCGTGTTGTTGATGTGAGTATGTGTATCGTGAAATATAGTGCAAAAAAATAATGAAACAAAAATAGAAATTGATGTTATGATAGGTACCTACCATCTTTGGAACTGACTTGTGCGCATGCGTACTGCGTACTATTTATTTTTGATTTTTGATTTGTTGTGCACATGTAGAGCTGTTGAGCATAAATGGTAATAACCTTCTGGGTCTGGCTAGTTAAATGTTAAATGATGCCGAATAAATCCACACGTTCACTGTCATCTCATCGAATTTTGTATGTGCATTGAATATTACACTGATGAAGAATATACCCGTCATGCTGGGTTTATAGATTCAACTAAACTAAGAATTCAACTAACAATTAAGAACTAAGAATGTTGAATACACAAGAACATAATATAGGGTTTATACATTTACATCTGTCATTTAAATTAAGAATTAATAATTACAAAGTTGGCCAACTTTCAACTTAACAACTAAGAATTAAGAATTTTGTTGAGAAAACATGCAGAACATGACAAACTGGTGACAAATGCTGACAAAAAGAGTTGTTGATGGATTTTAGAATGTCAGTAAATATCATTGTTGAATTTTGTGGGCTTGTTATACAAAGTGAAATTTGGTGAAATTTCAGGTTCAAAACTTTTCCATGTTCTTGTGATTGCTCCATTAAAATACCCCATAAAATAGCCTATAATTGAAATTTTTCACAAATATTTGACAAGGATTATGAATATCAAGGCATTTTGAAAATGATGGAAGCTTAGTTTTTAGTAGATGTGTATAAACACCTTCCTAATTCTCTAATTGTAATTCTTAATTATTAATTCATAATTGTTAGTTTAGTTGAATCTATAAACCCAGCATCATGATTGTATAAAATGAAGATAGATAGGTAGGTACTCAACCTTAATTATTACCTTCGAATGCGGAAACGTACTCGCAGAATCCCCACTCTATCAGTTGGAGTTGATAGTCCATGTTGCAGTAGGTACTTGCAGCTCGCAGTTTGCAGTTTCGCAGTTTCAGTTTCACTATCACTTGGACACAAACTCTATTTAATCCGTTAATTGTTCAATTGTTGTAGTTGTAGGCTTTGTGCGATTGTAGATCTTCTCTCACTATGAAACACAGCGTCACAGCCACAGCGACAGCGAAAACCATGCGACATGCGAAAACCGAAAGATTCACTTCACACAACTGACCCCTACACTGACCTACTTAGCACTTAGCAGCAGGAACGCCAACGGCCAAACGCAAATAAATGCCGGGATTGCAGGATGCCGCGAAAGCGCAAAAAACTGCGGGGCTGGTACCATTGTTGCCAACCTTCCAAATACGTTTTGTCCTACACGAACCTATTAGAATTCTCTACATTGGAAAAAAATCCTTACAACTCATTTATATTCAAAGGAACGTTATTTTTATATAACTGATCTAGCAAATTGAATTCTTCAGTGATATAAGGGTGATATTTAATATTAATTTCAAGGTTCAAAAATCCATTTAGATAGAAAACACGTATTTTTTATGAAACGGGGGTTTACAAAAATAAAATAATCGATTCGACAGTAACTCAATATTGCAAATTATAGGTATCTCAGGAAGGTATTTTTGACACATTTTGTTTTCATAACTACATGTATGCGTATACAAGAACAGTCGAAAATTCCCCACAATTCTGGACTATTCAAAAATCTGTCCTCACATCCCAACGCACCAATAATTTGAACAAAATGTTTTCTACATGTAGGGAATATGCCTACGAGTAGTACGAGTTGACATCACTGTCGTACCCGAACATGGCGCGAACGCGTTCGTCTACGATCGCCATACATTTTCACAATAAAAGTAATTAGATAACGAATTACGGTTATTAGATTAAAAATCACTCGACTGCTTTCATTATCATAGGGTATGATCTTATTATCCTTACAAGACGTCTAATGAGGCTTATTGGTGTACTCTCTATAAAACGTCTCTAATTGTGATAACTAGTCGTTTGCGCTATTTTTATACATGACATGGGTGAACATCATTAGATATTGAATGACTATAATCAACAAAGACATAATAAGACGATTTAATTAGAGCTTTTTCCTCAGTGTGTATATATAATATTTGTTTCCAATGAGAATGACAAATTTCCAATTTTTTGGGTGAGAATGGGGTAAATTCGATGCGACCAAATCAGTGGACATATAATGATTCTCTTCTCTCAAAAGAAAAATAACAAATATCTCAAAGTCAGTCGGTATTTTTCTAGACTTGTCCAAGGCGTATGACTGCCTACGATATACTACTGTACAAATTTGACGAATATGGAGTCAGAGGACCTGCGCTTAGTCGGTTTGGGTCATATTTGTTGGAAAGAAAGCAAAGAGTAGTTATCAGAAGAGACAACAAAACAGTCAAATCAGATATTAATGAAATCTCGAACACCGGTATTCCACAAGGCAGTATTATAGGCCCTATACTTTTTATAATTAACATCAACGACCTGATATAGAAAATCTTGATCAGAACAAATGTTGTCTCACCAACTATGCAGATGACACAAACTTATTGGTCCGTGGTGAACTGTTTCCGGATTTGGTAATAATGAACAAACAAATTCTGAATAAAAACAAAACTAATTTTTTGTTTCTCACAACCAATTTGCCAGGCAAACGTAGAGTCAATCATGAGGTATGGTATCATATTCTATGGGAGTAGCAGGGCCACAAACGCGATCTTCATAATCCAGAAGAGAATTCTCAGGATACTCTGGAACCTGAAACCTGAAGGTTCATGCAGAGATTTATTCAGAAATAATTCTACTCACCTTTTATGCAATGTTCATTCAAGAGTGCCTATTATTCATTTTCAAAAATAAACGATTATATTCAAATATGGAATCTCAGACAGAACATTATACCAGATACTCTAACTACACATATCTGTGTGCTGCACAGATTGCGATTAACTGAGTCCAGTGCATTATACTCTTGTATAAGATTTTATAACAAACTCTCTAGTGACATCAATTCGAGTTCTTGAACTTTCGAATTCTCTTCTCTCGTCTACGTTACGTGTTTTTCGACAAAAAAAATCTATAGCAAGATATTTTTTCATTTTCAAAATGACAGATTTCTGATTTTTTTGCCCTCATCGGGGTGAAATAGGGGTGAAATGAATGCAACAAAATCATTACACATGATGAATCTTTTATTCTGTTCAAGTTACGTGTTTTCTGATCGATAAAACTATAGCAAGACATTTTTTCAATCTCAAAATGACAGATTTCTGATTTTTTAGCCATTATCGGGGTAAAATAGGGGTGAAATGGATGCGACAAAATCAGTAGACATGATGAATATCTTCTTTCGTTAACTTTCCGTATATTTTGACAAAAAAAATCCATAGCAAGACATTTTTCCATTTTCAAAATGACAGATTCCTGATTTCTTAGCTATTATCGGAATGAAATAGGGGTGAAATGAATTCCACAAAATCAGTAAACATGATGAATCTCTCCATTCGTCTACGTTACGTGTTTTTTGACGAAAAAAATGCATCGCAAGACATTTTTATTTTCATAATGACAGATTTCTGATTTTTCAGCCAATATCGGGTGAAATAGGGATGAAATGGATGCGACAGAAAAATCCATAGCAAGACATTTTTTCTTTATGGAAAATGACGGATTTCTGATTTTTTTGCCATATTCGGGGTGAAATAGGGGTGAAATGGATGCGGCAAAATCAATAAAATTCATAAATTTCTTCTTTCGATCACGTCACGTGTTTTTCGACAAAAAAAATCCATAGCAAGACATTTTTCCTTTTTCAAAATGACAGATTTCTGATTTTTCAGTCAATATCGGGGTGAAATAGGGGTGAAATAGATGCGACAAAACCAGTAGACATAATGATTCTCTTCTTTCGTCTACGTTTCGTAATTTCCGATGAAAAAATACATATAGCAAAACATTTTTTCATTTTCAAAATGACAGATTTCTGATTTTTCAGACACTATCGGGGCAAAATTGGGGTGAAATGGATGAGGCGAAATCAGTAGACGTGATGAATATCTTTTCTCTCATCTACGTTACGTAATTTCTGATGAAAAAATTCATAGCAAAACATTTTTTCATTTTCAAAATGACAGATTTCTGATTTTTCAAGCATTATCGGAGCGAAATTGGGGTGGAAAGGTTGCGGCAAAATCAGTAGACGTGATGAACTTCTTCATTCGTCTACGTTACGTGTTTTTCGACAAGAAAAATGCATAGCAAGGCATTTGTTTTCATTTTCGAAATGATAGATTTCTGATTTTTTAGCCATTATCGGGGTGAAATGAATGCGTCAAAATCAGTAGGCATGATGAATTTCTTCTTCCGTCCACGTTACCTTTTGACAAAAAAAATCCATAGCAAATCATTTTCTCCTTTTTCAAAATATCAGATTTCTACACAGCAATGAAAAATGAAAATTATTTTCTTCCTGATTGAAGTTCCGAACTTTCAATAATGCCTATTCGTTATCTCGAGTAATTGTTCGGCATTCTTCCAGATGAAAAATCACTACTGCACTAATTTAGAATAAATTCCTGATATTCCGCGTATTTATTCTGCCCGGCCTGCTTTTCGCGATCTTTTTTTTGCTGGCGCAGACGTCTTGCTGGCTTCACACAGGTCAATAGTTCTAGTAATGAAGTTTTCTAGAACAAACAAATTGGAGTATTTCCATCGGTATTACCTAAATATTGAATTGTATGTTCGATGTGTCTTCCGTTCTCTTGGAGACACAAACGAATATGATTATGGAATGACCTTGCCACTCTTCGTAATAGGTCGGGTTCAATGGTTCCAAATGCGTTTTGGATTCCATGCTGCATATTTTCTGGTGTGGTAGGAGGTTCTTGATTTTCATTTATTCATTTGTTCATTTCCAGTTTGGGATGAAAACTAGTGAAACCCATACGAGCAGCATCCACTAATAGTAACAATAATTATAGATATTTCGGTGATCCAGGAGGTACAGGAATAAACTAAATTGTATTCATCATAATATCATGAATGGAAAATTATGTCTCACAGTTATTTCGTATAAGAATTGAATGTCATGGAGAATATATCTAAATTATTACAATATTTGTTGTGAGAGTAACACATTCTGGTGATTGGAATTTTTTTTCGTGAATTCGTGAATTCGTGAATTCGTGTTGTAACTAGGACTAGTAAGTAATTGTCTATTTCTAGTATATCTCCGAGGAACATGATATAGACACCAAATTAGGAGAATCGTTAAAATGTTTTATGATTTTGTACATTAAGAGTAAATGTGATGGAAATATTAATTCTTTCTCGGTTTATTCAACAGAAAACAACTACTTTCCTTGCTATATCAATGTTGACCAGTTTATATCGGTTTTCTTATTGGCAGCAGTTTTCTGAAGCACATATCGTTTCATATGAAAATTAAATGAAAACATTGATTATATTTTGTGAAATGGTCATAGTCGGTTAAGTTTGGTTTGATCCCTATTGAAGCTTTCTGATATCAGTAAGAACATCGAAATCGGTACGAATTCGCAAAATGAAAAATTCACAATTTTGATAAATTTTCTTCCTGTAGCCGGACCTGATCTCGAATGTTTCTGCACACCCGTTCTTAGAAAGCGGCGACTGTTAAATCAAAGGGTGTCTGATGTTGCCGACGGATATTATCATAGACTACAGAAGATAATATATTATGCCGTTCGTGGGCCGCACCTGTGGCACGTAAGTTTCTGCACAGAACATAAACAGAGACCTGGTGTGTGCTGGTGCGAGAGGGAGAGAGAGAGAGATAAAAGAAATGGTGGCCCCCCTCCATTAGTCCTCCCCTCCCCTTGGCGCGTTCATTTTCATCTCATTCTCATTCCATACTGTGGTTCGGTAGCGGTTGTTTGGTTGCGCTTTCGAATGTTTAACCGGCCTCCTGCGGTGTCCTATTCTTTCTCACCTTCTGTTCGTTCTACCATGGAACGTCGAACATTGGTGAGATCGGATTTATTTTTGAATTTCGTGAATATTATAGCTTTGTATACTGACCGTGTTCAATTCAGCTCATGAGGTGGTGCCATGGACAAATTATGTTGGTGTTGATTAGCAGATCCATAATTATCGGAAATTCCTTATTCCAGGTATGTTCATTTCCTTAACTGAATAATCCGAAAAATTTCGGGAATATGCAATTTTAGCTATTGATCTTTGACAAATAAGCAAAATGATAAGGGATTTGTAATTATTCATGAAGTGAGTCAGTGAGTGAGTTAATTTGTCGGGTAGAACCTACCGCAGGTGTCAACGAATCTACCCACCTATTGCTTCTTATTCTAGAATATTTGTTGGTGTGGACATGTCCGGGTCCGGGTTTTAGGGGCCTCCGGAGACGTCCGGGCTGGTTTTGTAAAATTGTTCAGATTTTT